CTATTATATTATCACCAAACACACATCAAAACTGAAAACTAGTACTTTTTATATATTATCAACAATTTTTTTCAAAAAAAAATATATCTTTTGCTATACACAAGATTAAAGTATACTTAAAAAATACTTTAAACCAAAATACTGATATTTTTGCTAAAAGAGGTGCAAACAAATCAACAATCAAACTTAATCTAAACTATCTTTTAACTTTTCTTTTCTTTTTATAGTATTATACTTCACTTATCTTACAAACTTGCAAATTTATTAAAAACCTAATTTTTATCAAAACTTTTAATAAATTTCTTTAATATAAAAATATTTGCAATATTCCTCAATTTAATATTAAAACTTTTATAACTTTTTAAACTTCTACAATTACAAACCCAATCTTCTCTCTATGCATAAAAATATTACTAAACAACTTATCTACAATGTCTAATCTTTATCATTGTTATTCTCACCTTTATCTAACTTCTAATTGCATTAGATGTAATCAATATGAAGATACTTTACACTTGCTAAACTGTTCTCAAGCATCACTAAATCTCTATCAAATTCTTAATCAATATATAACACAAATAATAACAGAACTCAAAATTAAAAATATAAATATTTTAATAATTATCAACATATTACTCAATACAAATACTCAAAATATACTTTTTCAAAATATTTTCTTTCTTTTTTTTTATAGTCAAGGTCAGCCTCTTTGGCTTTTCACTTTTATTAGATTGTAGAATCATGTGGTGCCTTTATCAAGGGGCCCCAGACAAATACATTTTGACGAGAGTACATTCTAGCCATATCTGCATCTTTTGAGTGCCTAATTTAAGTAGTCTGCCTATTACTAGGTTCTATACTAGATGCCATATCTGTAATCTACTATTATTTAGATTATCTAATTAAACCATTTGATCTGAGTTTTCTATGCCAATCCATCTAACTTCACCTGAAACATGTGATATATAAGTCAGTCCAAGTTCCAAGATTGTCACAAGCTACCTATAGGACTACTGGCATGATTAACCGATTCATCCTCTAATGCATTATCTGCTAAAGCAGTCTAGTACTCACTATTACCATATTACCTAGTCTTTTTCAGATAAGTCTTGCCAGATAGGTTCTATACCTTTATGGGCAAACCACATTACCAATTCTTTCTGCAGATAAGTTCACCGGATAGGTTCTAAACCTTTATAGGCAGGCTACACCACCAAACCCATAGCCCTTGCAAGGTTCATTCTGATCTTGATACCTACATCAAGCCAGTCCTTATAACAATCCCTCTCCAACTACCAAATCAGTTAGCCTGGATGGGTCATTGTATCTAGGCTTTAAATGCCTTCTGGTTTTACTTTTCTTGGTTTCTAATTCTGAAGCATAGAACCTTTTTCTCCAGCGCAACTCTGGTGGCCAGGTTAGTGGACCCTTCTTGTACTAGGATTTTTATTCAATTCTTCAGTCTCCAGTTTTCTGACTTTCTGCAGTATTGTCAAAGATCATCATTCCTCCTTACTCAGGTCTTGCCAAACAGGTTTCAATTATTCCAGTTCCTTAGATTTGAATCACCTAAGAGCTTCCATTTCAAGATGGTAGTACCAAGATTACAGGTGATATATTCAACTGATTGTTGAATAATTGTTACTGATACATAGGCCTATTTTTTTAAAAACGTTTCTGGTAGAATTCGAACTCTAGACCTGCCACTTGGAGGTGACAACTTAACCACTACTCTAAATTGCCACATTCTTAATATTTTCTTTCTTATTCAAGAAACTATTTTTTATAATATTTTAAATCAACTACAACTAATCTTTAATAAAAATACTACCAACTTTTGTTTTAACTTATCTAATAATCTTCTTATCTGATTCAACTCAAATATTTGGCAAATTAGAAACTAATTCTAATATAACTAAGAAATCTCAAGAAATATTATATCTAAATCTAAATATATTAAATTCTCTTTACCAATATTATCTCTAGAAATTCTATAATAACTTATAATTATAATATTGATTTATTTATTCAAAAATGACATTTACAAAATTTTTTTATTTATTCATATTTATATTAACTCTATATCTATCTCTGAGCCTTCTTTTTCTCTTTCTATAATTAATGATAGTTTAACTTAAATTGGTTTTTAAATAGAAAATTAAGAGATAATTTGCTATACTTAGATAATTATACAAGATATAATAGATAGTTTAAATTAATATCATCTTAATTATATATGCTACTGAAATAGATTTTCAAAAAACTCCTATTTCATCTCTATTAGAGCAATTTAGAATTTTTTATATGCAATAACAAATCTAATTTAGGTAATTATGTTTCTTATAATTTCATCTCTTCAAAAAAAGTGTCAAAAAATTTTATCTTTTAAATAAAATAAGTCAAAAACAATTTTGTCTTCAAATTTTAATTTTATACCCCAAAATCTAAAATAATTTTATTAGCATGTATAATCTTGATACAATCAGTAACTAATTTTATTCTGTATACAGCAAATTCAAAAAAAAAAACTTTTAACAAATATTGTAAAACTTATCAAAATGCATTTAATAGTAATAAAAATATTAAAATTAAACTAATAAATTTAAAAACTTTTTAAAAATATTTTATTAATTTATAATATTTTTAAAAAAATTTTATATATTGATAAATTATTTTTTAAAAATTTTCAAAAACTATCAAGTCAATTTTAATATTTTTATTATTATTAAATATGTTTTGATAAACTTTACACCTTTTATTTAAAACCCAAAAGTGATTTATTTACAGTTAGTAAAAAAGGTTTAAATAGAAATTCTTCATATTTGGACCAATAGTTTATAGGAAATCTTTTTCTTATAAACTAAATTATAATTTAACCTAAACATAAATGAAATTATGAATGGTGTAATTATATGAAAGTAACTACATAGAAGGACGACTGTAGTAAAATATAAATTATCAAAAATCATATAACTTCCATTTGTATAATATTAAGGTTAGATTAGAGTAATTAGAGTTAGATTACACGAAAGCAAATTTGTAAAATTCAAATAAAAAAAAAAGTTTATCGAAATTGATCAGGTGATCATCGAGATATGTATCTTTATTTGGAGTTTTTTTTTTTTTGTACGTACGAATACATACGTACGTACCAGTATTTGAAGTTTTTTTTTTTTTGTATGAGCCCCCTATTTATAATATGTAGTTTTAATTTTAAAAATTTTTTTAATAAACTATTTACTTAGTTTATACGTATCTATAAAATAAAATAATCTTATCGATATCGATATTAAAATTTTCTAATTAATCGACATAAATTAATTGTAAATACATATAAGTCTAACTAATCTCAGGTAATGACTTATTTCACTTAATCACAGCACATCATATCTCTACTACGTATAATACGCATTCCCAAGAAAAAGACAAAGTACAACTCATGAATTCATGATTATTACACAATAATCAAATATATACATAGGTATTTAAGAAATTTAGGAAATTTCAATAATGTACCATTAGTTCAGTAAAGGAATATTTTTAATACGTATATTATTTTTACTGTCGGTAAAACAAACGCATTTGATAAACAGATATAGCTGGTAGGCATTAACCCCCCTGTTTGAAGATTATTTATCAAATCAAAGTTAAAACTTGTGTCATTAACATTTAGATTATATAAATATTATTGTATCATTTTTTGTACGTAATATTTAAATGCCTGTCGCAATTATTAGATGTAACATGAAATTATTAGAATAAGAGTATACACAAAGCATAGTTTATACCAAAATTTTGCAAGGATTGTTTTTTGTTAGGGGACAAAAAAAGATCACACATTTTGAGTAATATCGATAGACAAAATCGATATCTTAATTATTTTGTTACACTTGACACCTAACGCTAATTCGCCATCTGGTTGGTCCTCAAGCGACCATTTACCCTACCACCGATCAAATTTCCTTAAATAAAACCGGCATCTATAATGATAATGATAATAAAGTTAACTATATACATGATAAAAATCTGATCGATACGTACATACATACAGTACTTACGTACGTACGTTAACATTCTTTACATCATTTAATCATTTATGCACATTTGGTAATACGCCAGCGACACAAAGAACACAAGGAGTTCACAAGTCCGACTGACCAGATAAATCATATGATGTGTGTGACCGATGATGCAACATCGATAACCTGGAGAACTCTGTTAGGTTCTTTCATTGCAACACAAGTGCAACACACCAAAACTGAACGTTACTTTGGCGAGTTGAATCGGTCACCCTACATCCATCCGTTTGGTTGTAGACAAAGACTTGTATTCTTTTGCGAAACATTGGTCACCTTTATTTATTTCCGTGCTTACTATACTATAATATTCTTCTATCTTTATTCCTCTCGCCTACCGTATTTCCATAAACCCGCCCACGATAATTTTTTAAACGTCTATATTCAGCTAATCACTATGGCATCAGTTGTCGAAACACGCGAAGATTACGTTTATCTCGCCAAGCTCGCTGAGCAGGCCGAGCGTTATGAAGGTGAGAGTTTGTGAAACCCAAGAACCACATCAGGTTCATCTCAGGCTAGTAATTCTTTTCGAATTATAAGTATACTTTCTGTCAGAAACTTTGGTGAAAAAGTAAAAACTTACCAAGTTTATACTGAGTTAAGTTTACTCTTCGAGAGGTCATCTGAGTACTCTTTAGAACCGAGGATTTACAACGGCTTTCATTAGATTTACCTTTAATAATATTTAAATTAACCCGAACCAAAATCACTGCTAAAATAATATATAATATAATATGTTGCATCATATTATAACCTAAAATAAAATAAAGTAAAAAAAAAAAAAAAAAAAATGCTAGATATATAATAGATATATGATATATGATATATAATATATATATATATAATAAAATATCATGTTATTCATTTATCAATTATATTAACCTCAATAACATTTTCAATCTGCCAGAAATGGTGGAGAATATGAAAAATGTCGCTTCTGCTGACCAAGAACTTACTGTTGAAGAACGCAATCTCTTATCTGTTGCATACAAAAACGTGATTGGTGCCCGAAGGGCTTCTTGGCGTATTGTATCCTCGATTGAACAAAAAGAAGAGACGAAAGGAAACGATGTTCAAGTTGGCTACATCAAAGAATATCGTTCAAAGATTGAAGACGAATTAACTAAGATATGTGATGATATTTTGGAAGTATTAGATAATCATCTGATTCCATCTGCTGCAACTGGTGAATCTAAAGTATTTTATCACAAAATGTTTGTAGCGTGATCTTTTTTTTTTCTTAATTAGTTTATGGTTTATTAGATCAGTTACAGTTAATATGTAATTAATAAAATTATATTAACAAATTTTTCATTATTATTGTTTCTCCTTTTTAGGAAAGGAGATTATCATAGATATCTCGCTGAATTCGCTACAGGAGATAGACGTAATCAATCTGCTGACAAGTCCTTGGATGCGTATAAAGCTGCAAGTGATGTTGCTGTCACTGAGCTTGCACCTACTCATCCAATTCGATTGGGATTAGCTCTTAACTTTTCTGTCTTCTATTATGAAATTCTGAATTCTCCTGATAGAGCCTGCCATTTGGCTAAACAAGCATTCGATGACGCCATTGCTGAATTGGACACCCTTAGTGAAGAAAGTTACAAGGATTCAACGTTAATCATGCAATTATTGAGAGATAATTTGACACTCTGGACATCAGACTTGCCGGACAGCAGTACGTTAACTTTTTTTTAAATATATAAATATATATATTTATATTTATATATTTTTATATATTTATTTACTCGTTTATTTATTCATTGATTTGTCCTAAATTAAATGCAAAAAAATATTTTTTTCTTAGATGATAAAGCAGAAGCCCCTAAAGAAGATGAGACTACTGAACCAGTCGAATAAATTAATCATATCACATTTATAACATATTTAACATTATTATAAACAGTTCATTCCTTATTTCAACATGATTATGTATTTGGGTATCATAAAATTAAAAGATATTGAGATGCCAATCTAAATATTATACATGTATGGAATGACTTGTTTAAATGATGGAATTCAAGTTTTCCTTTTATTACGTTTATTTCATTTTTTCGTTCTTTCACTCGGATGCGGATTCATATAGAGCATTTGTAGAAATCTGAGTTTTGTTTTGTCTATAAAATTTTTTTATTAGGGTGTTGGAAATATACTGTAGGTGTTAGGGTAAATTATTGATTTACCCTTGTCTTATTCCTTGATGACCCATGATTACTTAATCTTCCATACACTTACCATGTAATAAAAAATTGATTTGGGTCGATATTTATACAAATTTCTAGACTGTCAATAAATTTGTGAATATATATATATTTTTTTATTTCAAATCAATAAATATCTTAAAGCATTAATATTCAAGTTAATCACTTTTTCTCCTTACTTTTAGTTTTTCCTGTTTTCTAAAATTAGAAAAGATTTTATGTTTAAAATACTCATCTTCTTCTCACGTGTTTATACAAATGATAAAAACTTATTGTCACCAGAGTTACACGGACTTCTTTTTGGATAAGAAATTTGCATCACTCCGTGGTCATAACTGTCCTTAAAACTTTTTTCGTCGCTTTGAGTTAAAACAATATATCAGATATACTGTATTAATTAAAATTAGTCAGCAATTCGTCACGAGAAACTATTTTGATAATCGATAAATTCCTAAATGCATAATATCAATGCATAATAATAAAGACAATTATCTTCTTTCTTGCTTGCTTCCTTACGAATCGGAATGCGATCCGCAAAAACCGATTATGAAGTTCTATCCCTAACGCTAACGATTGTTCTTACTGTACGTACGTACGTAGTCTAAAACTTTTATGCTTTTTTCGGTCCAACATTCATCCTGATTGCGGTGAATTTCATGTATACACTTACGCAAGTACGTGCGTACGTATATGTTTACTTATCTGTTAATTTCCTTTTGGATGCCCATTTGTCTCTGACGATCTTCCGTATGACAAGAACCCTCTTGGATGTGATGTGATCGGGCATGGATTAACAGTAGGACGGTGCAAGGTTCATCGGTGCAACGCATACAATCTCACTATAGAAAACGATAGGATCTTGAATTGAGCCCGGAAGATTTTTCGCATTTAACCTTGGTTATCTAAAATAACTATGTCAATTGGTATTGGTTGACTAACCATCACATTCATTAAACATTATAATATAAATTTAAATATGGTTCACAATATTTCTATTCCCAATTAATTTGTCTGTTCTTCATAATAAAGAAGGACTATTTTTTCACCATACCCTTTTCTATTATAAGGCGGAAGCTGTTGTTGTTGTCGATTAGTTGATATCTATAGTTGTTGACGAAGGGGTAGCAGTCCAGTCTACAGGAAGAAGTCCATCCCTTTTTTTTTGCTTCCCTATTTTTTTAAAGTACCTATCGAATTTTTGGTTGAGTAAAAAAAAAAAAAAAAAAAAAAAATGGCTTTCAATAGAAGAGGTTGCTTCAAATGTGGTAACGGTCAGTAGTCGTGTTTTTTAACAATATAAATAGTTCGGGCAGACGATGAAAAGCGCAAAGTCTCAGATGATTGCGATCATCGCTGCGATTCATCATCCTGTACTCTCTATTAAGTATGTTCGCGACATGTTTGTTACTATCCCGTTACCTAGTAATAACTGAAAAAGAAATTTTGTTATTGTTAAATAATAGTTGGTCATTTTGCCGACTCTTGCCCTGAACCTGAAAGGTTATGCTATAACTGCAAGCAACCTGGCCACGAGGCTAACCAATGCCCTCAACCTAGGACTGCCGACGCCAAACAGTGCTATTCTTGCGGTGGCGGTAAGCATTAATTGCTAATTGGTTTATGTATAAATTAGTATATATCTATGTAAAGTGCTGAGTTTAACTCGGACAATACGTTTGATTGGTAGATAATAGACGATCACCAAATACCCTTTTTCGAGTTGTTGCATCATCTAACAATTATTTGATTTATTTGGTTTTAAACAGTTGGTCACCTTCAAGCTGACTGTCCCTCCGTTCGTGTAAATGGTAGCGGTAGTGCTGGTGGTCGTTGCTACAATTGCGGTCGTTTTGTACGTAATGTCAAATTTTAACTTTTTTTTTTTTTTTTGACTATATTATGAATATATTAACATTATCTACCTATCTATTTATTTATTTAGGGTCATTTGGCTCGTAATTGCTCCACCAATAATTATCATGGAGGAAACCGGGGTCACCGTGGATATGGTGGCGGTCGTGTTATCTGCTACAAATGTGGTGGATTCAATCATTTCGCAAGAGATTGCCAAGCTAATGGTGTTAAATGTTACAATTGTGGACGCTTTGGTCATATCGTAAGTTATAATCTTTTTATTCGATTTCTGCATTGAATTTTTTATTGGCATTGAGACTTGACTCATTAATCACGTTATTCTTTAGTCTCGTGACTGCCCTACTTCTCAAGGATCAAGCGATAAATCTGTCAAGACATGTTATCGTTGCAGCGAACGCGGTCATATTGTAAGTCTTATATCATATCAGTGGATTTGCACAATTTAATAAATAAAAGAACCCATCAGTTATAATTCTGGTCAAATTTGTCAAAAATATGTCAGATGATCGATAATTTTGACTGGAATTATAACCATAGGTTTCTTAAATTTAAGTGTTTTTTGAATTCTTTATATTTGTAGTTTCTTGTTATTAACTTATATTTTATTTATCTGTTTTTTTTTTAGTCCAAGGACTGCCCCAACAGCATGCAAGCTCACTAGTTATTGACAGAAAAATCCGTTGATAGGTCTGGGCCACAAGGGATTAGCTAGGTCTAATTATCTCATGAAACGAAATTCCCTTATCCCTCCCAATTCCTTTGGAATTTGAACATTAACATAATCATATTTTATCGGCTTCTTTATATAACTACCTATCCTCAATCATCTCTATATTTATTTTTCATCTCCACCAAAACCACGTATTAATGTTCGCTTTATTATTTATTTATGGATCCAATGAGGGATGAAATCAATATATTTTGATCAAATATATATAATATCATATCATTTAATTTAAACCAAGTTTCTAACTTTCTCATCCATTGATAAAATTGATTATATATGTTACATTAATAATGTAAAATTATACATGCCAGGATATTCATGATATTAATTCTCGCTTTGATTGATCCGAATTGAATTAACAGGTTGGCCTATACAATACACACAATTACCGTAATTTTATGTAATTTTGCATAATTTTATGTGCGTTTTATATATCAGGATAATTTCTAGTTTTTAATTTGCGGATTACCGGATAATCTAGCAGATAACCGGATAACCTACAGATTAGTTCTAACGTTTAGGGCTGCAGATAGGGATGGTAAAAAAAACAGTTTAAACTGTTTTTGATACTTTTTTTTTGGTGCCACCCGGTGTGGTAAATAATTTATTGCCATCCTATCAAAATTAAATACTAAATTGACTGACCCTTAACCCTAAGGTGCATCATCAAATTACTATTTAATTTAGACGGCATACCAGCCCGGGTGGTATTGTTGTTTTTTTAAAAAAAAAGTTTAAAACATCGGTGGCTGATGTTAAATTTGGGCTGAAACTGAAAAATAACAAAAAATTATCATTTTTTTTATTAGTTTTTGACATTAAATGCTTAATTTACCTATATATCAAGCATTTAGTATTATATTTGTTGATATGAAGTTCAATGTTTAAAATGCATGTATATAAATTATCTTGTAAAATACAGTGTAATATTAATGAATTTTTATTAACATTTTTCTTATATTTTTTCTTAAATTTTATTATATATTTTATATGTTTATTATATATTTTATTATTT